TTGAAATAAAATTAAACCATATGTTAGTCCCGAAATGACCTAGTCTTTGTCGAGTTGTGCGCTATACAAATATACAAAGATAATAATAATATCACAGAGTCTAATAACATATTTTATTATGTGCATATTATGATGAAATCGATTCTCCCTTGTCGTTAATTAATATTAACTATTTCTAATATTATTCATGTGTCATATAAAATCATCAAATGTTAATAATAAACATTATTTGCTTCATATCATTATTTTATTTTGTCTACATTAAATATCAACGGGTTCTAATAACTTAAAATGTTCCATATAACATCTAGAGTTTAATCATATATTAAAACACAGATCCTATTTCGTTTCGTTTTTTTATAGCTCAAAATTTCGTTTTACTTGTCTTCACAACACTAGGATCGCGTTCGGGTTAATGTGAGTGATAAGCTAATGAAATGGTCTGTTACGGTGAGTATAACGGTAAAGAGATTTACCGTTATAGGTTTATAATGGGTGATAAAACGAATTCTCTGATATGAGAGAGAGAAATGGGTTTTACTGTTTAGCATATCTTTGCTTTAGTGTGTTACGCTTCATTTGCAATGGCATGCTTCAAATAGGTTCTACACAGCGAGCAGTAGCCAACATGCTTAATGTGTCACAGTCTGTGTGGAACCGGTACCAACAAACACACAATGCTGATGATAGAACTCGATCAGGTCGTCCTAGAGCCACTACACAAGCCCAGGATCGATATATTCGCACACAGGTCCTGCGAAATCGAGGACAAACGGCCAATCAGCTTTCTGTAAACTTGTACCAAGTTACAGGAATTCGAGTTACACCACATCCTGACACCGATAGTTCTGTCCTTTGCTCAATGTGCAGGTCGACGTTGCATCTTTCAAGGTGACAATGCCCGTGCACATCGCTCGTGTCGTGAATGACTACCTCCAGCGTCACCATATAGTCCATATGCCTTGGCCAGCCACGGGTCATGACCTTTCCCCTATGGAGCATGTCTGGGACAAGATTGGGAGACGTGTTCGTCGACGTCAACGTCAACCGACAACACTGCAAGAATTGACCGTGGCACTGCAAGAGGAGTAGGTCAGATTGCCCCAAATCGTGATTGGACGTTTGATTAGGAGCATGCTGAATGTCTGAGGATTGGTGGAGCAATTACTCATTATTAAGACAAAAATCAAAAACGTCAATTTTCACTTTTGACAGTATATCTCTTTGCGAGTGAAATGGGGCCGTCAGATAAGCCGCCCATATGAACTGTTTATGTTCATGAGTAGGCAATTGGCCTGGTATTAACATACACTGATTACCTCTAATAAAAACAGCAGTGCGTTTCCGCAGTTTTGTATTGTTTCTGAACATCCCCTACTTTTTTTGAATAGTATATTACGCAATGACCATTGCGTCGTCGGACGCAGGGCTAGCTCGCTCGCTCGCGGACAAGGCGGTTGGAGGGTAAAGCTCGGGAGCCAGGTTTGGCCGCTAATCCACGCAACGGCCGGCCCGCGGAATTCCAGCCCGACCGTCTCTCAACCGCATCTCTCTCAAACCCTCGAGCGCCAGCCAGTGGGTCTCGAGACGGCCACTCGTCGGACGCAGAGCTAGGAATTCCAGCCCGACCGCCTATCGGCCGCATCTCTCTCAATGACCATTAAACAGCTTAAGATACAAACACAATCCAGCACGTGCTTTTCAATGAAATACGTCAAGCAAGTCCAATATTTCATCTAGTATACATAATGTACGATTGGCAAGTTGCCCGTACATTATTGGAAATAGTGGAACGCCAACATCAAAGGATGACGTCACATCTGTATTTTAAATATCCATACCCTGTGTTGTGTTTTGTTAACCGTACATCTAGATGTTATTGAAAGAACTGATAAATTATATAGAATAAACGAACCAAAATACAAATAGAGAGAGAGAGAGAGCGAGAGAGAGAGATGGGGGTTAACGTCCACTCGACACAAACTAGGCCATTTCGGGACTAACATATGGTTTTAATTTTATTTCAAGAATTTGCTTGTGCGTAGGGGTCTTTAGCAGTGGGAGGAAACCTGAGGACCCGGAGAAAACCCACGCGGTTGGACAGGCGACCCTACTCCTTGTCACGTACACCAGGGATTCGAAACCACGCCAGTTGACTCAATGACAGGCCTTATGATACAGCGCGCGCGTGCTAACCATTCGCCCCCCCCCCCCCCAATACAAATAAGACATACATGTGAACATTGAAATCATCTAAAAATCACATTAATTTCTTTAATGAATAGGTTATAATCATGTATTACTAAGACTAAGTGTTTTTTCAATGTTTCTTAAATAACGGGCCTTGAACATAAAATAAACAATATCCAAATGAACATAAGTTTGCAAAACAAGCATGTGTCCCGTTCACGACCTGAGAATTCCTTCTCAGGAGGGGCGTACTCGTCACAAACTAGACAATTTGTTCATTCTGAGGAAACCGGGGGACCTAGAGATAACCCACTATAGTAGCAGTACGATATTTACTTCTTGCCACGTCACCGCAACAGACTCTAGGTAATGGGTCACCCCGTATTCCCTCCCCTAAATGGCCCCCCCCCCCCTTCGAACGTACAACAAACACTATTATATTTTAACCACGCCTTGTTGTCGTTATGAAGAGTGTATCACCACGCCCTATTGTCATTGTGAAGAGTAGCCTATCACCACGCCCAGCCCCCATTCCTATCTTTGATGTTCTGTTGATGTGGACGTGGAAAGTTTTACAGAATTAAAATGACGGGTTGTAGTTGGACTCAATGGATATTTGTCTTTTACAGTAAGTATCTAATAATTAATATTTAGAAATATTATATAACAAAAATATGATCAAATAAAGCCTCAAATGATATTTATAAAAAAATAAAATAAATAACTACACAAAATCATCAGCTATTGTTAAGAGAGAGAGAAATGTGGTTTAACGTCCACTCGAAACAAACATTTCGGGACTAACATATGGTTTAATTTTATTTCAATAATTCGCTTGCGCCTAGTGGTCTTTAGCAGTGGGAGGAAATCGGAGGACCCGGATAAAACCCACGAGGTTGGACAGGCGACCCTACGCCTTGTCACGTATAACCGGGGATTCGAAACCACGCCAGTTGACTCAGCGACAGACTTTATCATTCAGCGCGCATGTACTAACCATTCAGCCATCCAACCCCCCATTTTTTTAATGGATTGTTGGCGTGAATCATTGGGACAGTGTGGTAGCGATTTTGTTTTTGGGTCGGAGGATGAACAATTTTGCTTTTCAAATTTAGTGAGAAGCGTATTGGAGCCGGCGAGGTGAAATCTGATTGATATCTGTCTAGGACTATGTGTTACAGAGATACGATAAATACCAAGAAACGTTTGTAAAATTATCAGATTACTTCAAATGAAATGAAATAGGGTTTAACGTCCTACTGTTCTGCTCCTAACCTGGGCTAATGAAGACGGGCATACGCCATACAGTGTGCTATGAGGGACATTTTGCCCGGGCAGTGGCACTACGGCCTACTCTTATATCGAATTCCAACTGCCAAGGGATCTTCTACGTGCACGCCAATGTATATACGGGGCCTCGGTTTTTCGTCCCATCCGAACGACTAGACAGCTGTCATTGTCCGGCCCTCCATCCTGCATCACTAACAAGGGGAAACCACGCTGGAAAATCTGGTAGAACTTTCTCGGCCAATGCAAGGATCAAACACCCGACCTCCAGGCTAGCGAGCCAGCTTCTTACCCACTTAGCCACGTGATCCCCCAGATTACTTCAAGGCCCTTATCAAATTTGGACATGTATGTTTATGACTATCTTTTTCTCTAGACATACCTACTGTGGCGGGGTTGGGGTGGGGCTATCTTTAAATTAAAAGATAATTTATTTATTTATTTTCTTTCGAAAAGACGCTGTCGGAGCTTGGGTTGTGCTGGGGTTTAGACTGAAATATTAGAAGATAGGGTATTTGCTGACGGGCTGACGGGGGGTGGGGGTGTTGGATGGCCGAATGGTTAGCACGCGCGCGCTGTATCATACGGTCTGTCATTGAGTCAACTGGCGGGGTTTTGATTCCCCGGTTGTACGTGACAAGGAGTAGGGTCGCCTGTCCAATCTCGTGGGTTTTCTCCGGGTCCTCCGGTTTTCTCCGACTGCTAAAGACCCCTACGCGCAAGCGAATTATTGAAATAAAATTAAACCATATGTTAGTCCCGAAATGACCTAGTTTATGTCGAGTGGACGTTAAACCCCATTTTTCTCTCTCTCTGACGGGCTGACAATTTACTGGATTCATGCATGTTGTAATTCCAAACAGGATCACAGTCGTCATTGCGTGTGGTTTAACATTAAGTAATATATTAAAACAACACGAGTAAAATACAGACACTCGCACGTGCTTTGCAATAAAATACGACACACGGGTCCAAAATTTAAACTAGTATAAATAATGTACGCTTGGCACATTGCCCATACCATTATTTGAAATAATGATACGCCAACATCAAAGGATGACGTCACATCTGTATTTTAAAGCATCTTAATTACATTGATTGATAAATATTTATTCATATAAATGAAATGAAATGAAATGTGGTTTAACGTCCTACTGTTCTGCTCCGAACTTGGCTAATGTAGACGGGCATATGCCAAACAGTGTGCTATGCCCAGACAGTCAATGGATCTTTTACGCGCACGCTAATGTGTACACGGGACCTTGGTTTTTCGTTCCAACCGAACAACTAGACAGCTACCCTTGTCAGACCTTCCGTCTAACATCACTGACAAGAGGGGAACCACGCCGGAAAATCTGGATGAACTTTCTTGGCCAATGCAGGGATCGAACACCCGACCTCCAGGCTAGCGAGCCAGCGTCTTACTCCCTTAGCCACTGTGATCCGCCTTCATATAAATAACACAGCAGTGGGTTTATTGTTCGCTAAATAGAAAAACAATTCTTACAAATTCCTGTTTTTAGTTTTCAGTTTGTTACCATACCATACATGGGCAGCACTTCCAACACCAATAATAACATGTCCGCTTGATCAGCGGTTGTGGAACCACGTAAAAGGTTGTCCCGAAAACATAAATGCATGGCACCCAAAACTGACGTACAGACCTATATATTGGAACAACTGTTACGCAAATATGGAATTTTACGTCACAGAAAAGTGGGATTCATTTACGATAACATTGGAGGTCAATCCTGAAAGCGAATCGGGTATTATAATGGCCTATAGTGACGATATGGGTATTGTTGAATTTACCGTTGAATTGATAAGTGGCACATTGTGTGTGTTACTAAAACATGCCTATATGATCGGTGGTAATCTTCTCACCAACTCGTGGACAAGTCTAGCTATCAGCTATAATTCACAATCAGGTAAACTTGTATTCATAGTAATATGACATGTAGAGAGATTAGATAGTAGTATTTATACACGAGTATAGAAATACACACGTTAAATATAGATATATAGATACACAAATAGTATTTATACACGAGTATAGAAATACACGAGTTAAATATAGATATATAGATACACAAATAGTATATATACAAGATGTATAGAAATACACACGTTAAATATAGATATATAGATACACAAATAGTTTTTATACACGAATTTAGAAATACACGAGTTAAATATAGATATATAGATACACAAATAGTATTTATACACGAGTATAGAAATACACACGTTAAATATAGATATATAGATACACAAATAGTATTTATACACGAGTATAAAAATACACGAGTTAAATATAGATATATAGATACACAAATAGTATTTATACACGAGTATAGAAATACACACGTTAAATATAGATATATAGATACACAAATAGTATTTATACACGAGTATAGAAATACACACGTTAAATATAGATACACAAATAATATTTATACACGAGTATAGAAATACACACGTTAACTATAGATATATAGATACACAAATAGTATTTATACACGAGTATAAAAATACAGACGTTAACTATAGATATATAGATACACAAATAGTATTTATACACGAGTATAGAAATACACGAGTTAAATATAGATATATAGATACACAAATAGTATTTATACACGAGTATAGAAATACACGAGTTAAATATAGATATATAGATACACAAATAGTATTTATACACGAGTATAGAAATACACACGTTAAATATAGATATATAGATACACAAATAGTATTTATACACGAGTATAGAAATACAAACGTTAAATATAGATATATAGATACACAAATAGTATTTATACACGAGTATAGAAATACACACGTTAAATATAGATATATAGATACACAAATAGTATTTATACACGAGTATAAAAATACACACGTTAACTATAGATATATAGATACACAAATAGTATTTATACACGAGTATAGAAATACACGAGTTAAATATAGATATATAGATACACAAATAGTATTTATACACGAGTATAGAAATACACGAGTTAAATATAGATATATAAATACACAAATAGTATTTATACACGAGTATAGAAATACACGAGTTAAATATAGATATATAGATACACAAATAGTATTTATACACGAGTATAGAAATACACACGTTAAATATAGATATATAGATACACAAATAGTATTTATACACGAGTATAAAAATACACACGTTAACTGTAGATATATAGATACACAAATAGTATTTATACACGAGTATAGAAATACACGAGTTAAATATAGATATATAGATACACAAATAGTATTTATACACGAGTATAGAAATACAAGAGTTAAATAGATACACAAATAGTATTTATAAACGGTAAATGACAAAACAAAAGATGATTTAGAATAGGTGGAATAATCAATTTTGGCGAACCAGCGAGATCCTATATCCAGTGACCGAGATAATTAAGTCAACTCTGCGAGATACTTAAGTCAAATCTTTGGAATAATTAAGTAGAATCTTTGGAATAATTAAGTCGGATCCAAGGGATAATGAAGTCCAATTTTTGGGATAATTAAGTCGAATCCGTGCGATAATTAAGTCTTATCCGTGGGATAGTTAGTTCAGCGCTGAAGATACAGTTTGTTCCTTTCAAATGGACGCTTTTTATTATAAATAAAAAATAATTTCTCATGGCGTCGTTCTTAGAATTTTTCAAAGGCGATGCACGACTGGGCTAATAAAGACAGGGATGCGAGAAGGGGCTGAAATGTTAACAGTGTGGTTAGGGAAAATATTACAGCCAAATTAAAAACTTGACACTGATGAATTTCAACAAATTTTTTTTTCTGGTAAGTCAAATAAATTGTTAAGTGTTTCTAACGATAGTAAGTAGTAAGAAGCCTTTAATTTCATAACATTATAAAGTCACGTGGATCACGTGACTTTTGAGCATATAAAGATGAAAAACCTGAAAAACACGTGCAAACACAAACTCGTGAGGTCAATCGATGCAAGTTTGCTTAAACTGAACACGCACACGTAACTTGAACTGGAAAAACAAATTAAAATTGTTATTTTCATCTTTGTTAGAAAATACCGCGCCTTTCAAATGTAGAACGTCTACGTGCTATGGGTAGGCTCTATGCTGGTCCGTCTGTGGTCACTGTTGCAAGAGCCTTTAATTGTTCACGCCAGACAATAATTAATCTTAGAATGAGAGTGCTTCAAACTGGAACTATTGCCGACCGCCCAAGGGCGGGAGCGCCACGTGTGACGTCACTCCAGGAAGATCAAGCAATACGATTACGTCATCTTAGAAACAGATTTGTCACTGCAACCTCCACAAGTAGAGAGATGTTTGGTGGAAGGATAACTGCACAAACTGTTCGAAATCGCTTGCAGGCTGCTGGTCTTCGAGCTCGGAGGCCCTATGATGGACAGTGGAATTCGGTTGTCTTTAGTGACGAATCTCGATTCACTTTGAGATTTGCCGATGGCAGGGCCCGAGTGTACCGAAGACGAGGTGAACGTTACGCTCAAGTATGCGTCAGAGAAGTTGACCGATTTGGTGGTGGCAGCGTCATGGTTTGGGGTTCTTTTTGTGCACATGGACGTTCTCCTTTTGTTGTTGTCCAGTACAGGGATCAGATTTTGCAACCCGTTCTTCTTCCGTTTATGCAGAGACATGGGCCTGGACTAACGTTTCAACAAGACAATGCTCGACCCCATACAGCAATTGCTACCCAGAATTTTTTAAGAAATGCCGGTGTCCAAGTCCTGGATTGGCCGTCGCTTAGCCCCGACCTTAATCCTACTGAACACATCTGGGACGAACTGGGTCGACATGTTCGTCAGCAAGTGAATCCACCACTGACGTTGCAGGACCTTTAACATGCTCTTGCTGAGCAGTGGCGACGTCTTCCTCGGGTAGTGTTTACTAATGTTCTGAGATCCATGAGAAGACGTTGTGTGGCAGTACGAGACGCTAGAGGAGGCCACAACCGTTACTAAACACTTTATTCCGATTGTTCTCCAAGTCTGTGAATTTCATTTTGGGGGGTACTGTGACATCACGAACGTTATCAATGTCAAGGACTTTCGGCGAGACGTATTCTTGCTTTCTGTTGATGTCAAGGTCGTCTGTGCACAACATAACACTAAAATAGTTGCCTTAAACCAAATATTAAAAATCTAGCCCCAAAAATCCTGAGTGTCAAGTTTTTAATTTGGCTGAGTATATCTCAAACAAAAAGTACCAGATCGGAATAAATATCCAACATACCTTATTGACAGGTCGCTGATTTTATTAACAGCAACTTCGATGACGCAGGTAACCGATTTGGTTATCGAATTGGGTAGGGTTGGGATAATAACCCGATCCATTCTGTTATCCTGCAGTCTTGACTACAGGTGCGTTCACACTGGGGGTTTAATCTGAATTGAATTCAGAATAAAGTCTTATTCTGGGTTTAGAGGGAACGGGAGAGAGAGAGAGAGAAATGGGGTTTAACGTCCACTCGACACAAACTAGGTCATTTCGGGACTAACACATGGTTCAATTTTATTTCAATAATTCGCTTGCAGTAGGAGGACCCGGAGAAAACCTACGAGGTTGGACAGGCGACCCTACTCCTTGTCACGTACAACCGGGGAATTGAAACCCCGCCAGTTGACTCAATGACAGACTGTATGATACAGCGCAGCGCACACGTCCTAACCATTCGGCCATCCAGCCCCCCCCCCCTATTCCGGGTTTAATTGTCACACCCAATACGTTAAAAACCGAACTGAATTTGAAGTAACGAGTCCGATTATTTTTCCGAATTCAGATTTGAGTGTGGCACGCATTCAGATCAACGGGTTTACCGGAACCGAAGATATGGTGTGTTCAGATCACGGCTGGTCATTCATGGTCTAGACCCTAGGGACAGGGACGGCTAGCTCCAGACGTCTTGAGTGTAGGGGAGTCTAGCTTCTAGCATTGTATATAGCTGGATGAAAATGACAACAAAATGTCGTGCTTTACATTCTGTATGTTTAGTGTTGAAAGGATTTTGATATGAAATGGGAGCCACGATGGCCCAGGGAGTAATCATCATCATTCGCCCGACGCTGAGTGGCAATATACCGAATATGCAGGACCCTGCTTGCCTCAGGAAATTAAACATTAGCAACAGAAGATTACGAATACGAATGACGAGCGCATCCATCTTGGACATTAATGACTTCAATTCTTCTAGGCATGCGCATTCAATTTGAATTCAATCCGAAACAAGACTAATAATGTGACACGCCACTTTTAATCCGCGACACAACAATCCAAATTCCGGAGGCCGGTCGCCGGAATTCCCATTGAATGCGCAAGCAATGTGAACCCACTTAAAGTATGTCGCACAGACGTGAGACGGTTTGATTATCTCTAGCGCTCGACTTTTTGGGCCAATCTGATTAAAACACGATTCTATTTCGTTTCGTTTTTTATAGTTCAAAATTTCGTCTTTACTACACTAGGATCTGGAAGAGTTGTTATATAACCCGCTTTCAGGATGATGTGACGGATTAGCCAATGAAACGGTCTGTTACGGCGAGTTTTTGGCGTGAAGTGCACGGAACTGTGGGTAACCCACTAGAAACATCAACGCTGATTGGTTAATCAAATGTCTGACATCATAGGTCAAAGGCGGCTCATATGACCTCTGACGCGACCTTACACTACAACCGGTCAGATCTTTATGAAGTGTAGGCCCACACTGATCCGCAGTGAATATTCGCTAGGCCGCGACAATCACTGATAAGGATGACATCGATGCGACTTAATGAGCCACAAATATTAACCTTTTCCCTCTGACAAATTAAATCCTAAAGCATTTTTTTTTATGTATTATAAAAATAAATAAAGACGTTTGAAGTATTTGTAGGTAAAAATTATTCCTATTTTAGTGTAAATGGGTATTAAAATGAGTAAAAGGAGCCATTCTGCTCGAATCAGTAACGTCTTATGTAAACAATGCACACGCCATTGAGCCAATGATTGACGCCGCGAGATATGACGTCATGTGTTGAAGGCAGTCATCTTTTACAGAGATATTAGAAGACTTTCGTAATACTCTGTAAAACAGATTGGTGTAGGCCATCAAAAGTATAAAAAAATGAAACGAAATATAGATCTGTATTTTAATCAGACTGGTTTGGGGCATGTCCTTAATCAGTCACTATAGTAACGTAATTCATGGTATGTATTTTCTGGTATTTGTGAACTGTATAGCTAATAATATTTCTTGTTATTTTATATTTCAAGATTCATTAGCTAAGAGCTAAATATGCCTATTGTAAGTCTTTCTATAGCCTTCAAATGTTATAAAAATTATTTATTTGACCTTTGTTAACATGACAAGCCCAGCATCAACTCTGTAGACCCTCGGATGTCTTGGATACGGTTTGGATTTAAACAGTTGTCCATTTAATATTTAAATCATTAATTGCCTACCGATGAAAGGATTGACAACCGAGGGTACCATAGGCATTGAGATAGTTACTTGATAATTGAGAATATGTGGGCAGAGTTACGGTCTGTCAATCAAACGATCGGCAGTTCTCGGAAACGGTGCGGGGACAGTAGATGCCTATTTCTAGTCCAAACTGCCAACAGTGATAATTTCGTTCAGAATGGAGTAATTTGACTGAAATTTTCAATATTTTCCCTTTTTATCGTCTAATTTTGAACTTTTATATCAAAAATGGCAAAGTCTTTATTACAATCTTAACTAATGTATCTTTAAAATGTTGTATGTGATTACATTATATTTTACTAATATCACTTAATCTGGAAAGGTATATTCTATCTGTACGCCAATGGTTACCTGATGGATAGCATCAGTTATGGTCACAATGACATGTACTTGCTGAATGATGGTACTCTTCAACTAGGAAATGACGCGTACGAAGATGGAATTGATCACTTTAAAGGGATGTTAGCATGTTTATCTTTTTACAACGTGTCGGTGGTACCTACCTTTGACAGATACAAAATGATGCATAATGAAGCACTGAAAATGTGTAACCAGGATACAATTACGACAACACTGTGTGAGTTACAAATCATTTATGGTTCATATTCTGAATTCTTAAAACCACGCGTTTTATTTAATTTTTATTGATATTTACAACAACTTCTAATTTAGGGTTAACGGTCACATTTTGATGAGAAATCAGGAATGCGTTAATTCGTATGATCAAATCATCGGGGATCCGTAAAACAGACAGATGTTAGCAGACAGTGGATATGTAGTAGACAAACACATATCACTGACGACTTCAAAGGAGCTAATTCGCTAATATTTGGGTCCTATAGAAATTGACACAAATGTGTAGTAACGCATACAATAATGTGATGATGTATATTAACTTATTTACATTTAATTTTTTCTGTTTTTATTCTAATCTCTTATGTCAACTCAGTTATATTCGTTGAAATACGCCAGATGTCTCAATCGAATGGCAATCTCTATAGCGCCAGCTTATTCCAGTTCTCCAAATAAGAATATGCCGTCACCGTTTGACATGACCTGTGGAGTATGTCTAGCCGCGTTCTTCGAGTCCCTTGTTACAAATGGCGCTGAAACGCATTATGGTACACGATTCGTGTATCAATGGTAAAATTTTTATTTTGTCTTAAATATTGAATATCGGCAGCCCATTTTTTTCCCGGTAAGATCACAACATCAATGTTGATTTAAATTGACTAATAATTCGTGTTTTTAATGTCGAAGACTTTGGATGATACTGAGTTGGAGACTTGGCTACTTTAAGTTTTTTAGGGATCACGTGGCTAAGTGGGGAAGGCGCTGGCTCGCTAGCCTGGAGGTCGGGTGTTCGATCCCTGCATAGGCCGAGAAAGTTCATCTCGATTTTCCGGCGTGGTTTCCCCACGCAGAACGGAGGGCCTGACAAGGACAGCTGCCTAGTCGTTCGGATGGGACGAAAAACCGAGGTCCCGTGTACACATTGGCGTGCACGTAAAAGATCCCTTGGCAGTTGGAATTCGATATAAGAGTAGGCGATAGTGCCGCTGCCCGGGCAAAATTTCCCTCATTGCACACTGTATGGCGTATGCCCGTCTTCATTAGCCCAGTATAGGAGCAGAACAGTAGGACGTTAAACCCCATTTCATTTCGCGGCTTTTTGTCCACAGACACTAGATTTACAAAATAAACGACTTACAGTCACATAAATATTTATGGTCCAGCCATTTAAAGATGCATTATGTAAGAGCTCAATCTGCTTATTGTCTTCCAATATTGTATAACCTATATAAGATACATTATGGGAGATTCGATAAAGAGCTACCAGTTCTCACTATAATAGTTAAAAACTAGATATTGTAAAGTGAATTTGCTGAAAATTTCAGTTAAATTGATTCACCCTGAACCGAGATTTTAGCGATTAAATTTTCGGCTTAGCCAGCCTCGATCATCATTACTAAAGTCGGTACGATAAAAAAACATAGTCTCGATTAATTATCCATTTCATTAGGAGGGTAATCTAATAAACATCACAGGCTAGCGATGACATCAGGAGTTGATTATGGTCTGGATAAGTTAATTAATATCTAATTGATAATTTAGAAAACATTTCAGGCCTAAAGAAAGACTACGCTATATTTCAAACATCAGGAGATATTAGCCTTTGAAGGTTTGACAAGACGTGTACAATAATTTCAACCACCGTACTGGTTGTTCGAAGCCAAGTCTCGCTCCTCAACTTTTAAATTAAATTAAAACATGGCTGAACCGTTCTAATCTATTTAATATCAGAGAAATCCCATGCACCGAGAGTTGATTATGGTCTTGTTATGTTTATAAATGTCTAAAGAAAGACCTGTATTAGGCAGATTTAGCTCTTGCATAATGTATGTTTAAATGGACAATAAACCAAATTTAAAACCGGATCTCTTTAACTCATAAGGTCGTCTTGTTTTTCGGTTTGAACAAAAAAACGAAGTTCCATGTAAACCATTGGTAGCACGTTAAAGATTTACCTCGGGGAACGGGGGGATCACGTGGCTAAGTGGGTAAGGCGCTGGCTCGCTAGCCTGAAGGTCGGGTGTTCGATCCTTGCATTGGCCGAGAAAGTTCATTCAGATTTTCCGGCGTGGTTTCCCCTTGTCAGTGATGCAGGACGGAGGGTCTGACAAGGACAGCTGTCTAGTCATTCGGATGTTACGAAAAACCGAGGTCCCGTGTACACATTGGCGTGCACGTAAAAGATCCCTTAACAGTTGGAATTCGATATAAGAGTAGGCCGTAGTGCCGCTGTCCGGGCAAAATTTCCCTCATAGCACACTGTATGGCGTATGCCCGTCTTCATTAGCCCAGTTCGGAGCAAAACAGTAGGACGTTAAACCCCATTTCATTTCATTTCATTTCTCGGGGAACGGGAAATCGGATAAGATTAGGCCATAACGCCAGGGAGAAATTCCCCTCATAACTTATGAGTTCATGGCTTATACCCGTCTCTATTATCACGACTGACAGGGGTGTTGTGAAAGGAAATTTGTGAGTAGGCTACCACTACGCATGCGCGCCTTGATTTTTTTTTGTGTCACGCTTAATATTATAAACATTTTATAATTCAGTCGGATATTACAACTACCTAGAAACAACGACAACTAGCAGACCGTTTTACTGGCTATCAACAAGTTATGACATCATGGTTTCTAACAACAAGGTAAAAACAACAACTGGTCAACCGAGACAACCACCATCCAGTCTTTCTAACGGAATGTCTTACTTTTTAATAGGTAAATGTATATTATAACAATATTAAAGTTCTACATATTGATATGTAAAACATAAAATATTATAACAATACTAAAGTTCTACGTATTGATAGGTAAAATATATATTATAACAATACTAAAGTTCTACATATTGATAGGTAAAACATAAAATATTATAACAATACTAAAGTTCTACGTATTGATAGGTAAAATATATATTATAACAATACTAAAGTTCTACGTATTGATAGGTTAAACATATATTATAACAATACTAAAGTTCTATACATTGATAGGTAAAACATATATTATAACAATACTAAAGTTCTATACATTGATAGGTAAAACATATATTATAACAATACTAAAGTTCTATACATTGATAGGTAAAACATATATGATAATAATACTAAAGTTCTATGCATTGATAAGTAAAACATATATTATAATAATACTAAAGTTCTATGCATTGATAGGTAAAACATATATTATAATAATACTAAAGTTCTATACATTGATAGATAAAACATATATGATAATAATACTAAAGTTCTATACATTGATAGGTAAAACATATATTATAATAATACTAAAGTTCTATACATTGATAGGTAAAACATATATTATAATAATACAGTACTAAAGTTCTACGTATTGATAGGTAAAAGAAGCGCCAGGTTGGTATGTTATTCTGAATAGACGCATTGCATAAAACTTGCCAAATGTTTATTTCTGACCACATCTCTAACTTTACCTGAGTAATAAGGCTCCTTCCCAAATACAGAATTGAACCCAGGAAATATTCCCAAAAACGCAACCTGACTTCTGAGATGGTAATGTGTTCTCCATGATTTTCATGTAACTCATGTTGCACGTGGTTGAATCATTCACACTACTATGCCAGCGGCGCTTTGAAGACTCGACACTGGCCACACTGCCCAAGTCGTTGCGAATCACTTTCAGTTCAACGTTTGGACCATCTACTGGCTTCAGCAACGCTTTCGGGCCACCAACATCACGGATGATCGCCCCAGCACTCGTAGACCAAGGGTTACCACAAGGCGACAAGACTGCCCTTTGTGCTATAGCACGTGCAGAATCCCTTCACACAGGCATCTGAGACAGCACGTCAGACAGTGGGAACACGCGGAAGACCCACCTGTACCGATACAGTGCGCCGACGTCTCCCCAGAAAGAACATCCATTGCCGTAGACCTTACCGTTGACCGATCCTCACTCCTCGCCATAGACGTGAACTTCTACAATTTTCCCAACAACACCAGAACTGGCGACACAGGCAATGGAGAACTGTTCTGTTCACAGATGACAGTCGGTATTGTGTATCAACTGCAGATGGCGGGACCAGAATATGGCGTCGACGTGGCCAGCGTTATTCTGACCAATGTGTCATGGAGCGAGATTCATGGGGAGGTCCAAGCATAATGGTTTGGGGTGGAATCGGCCTGAGCCTGAGAGTGGGTTCTGTGGTATTGGAAAATCTTGGTTCAGGGAGAGGAGGTGGCATCACAGCGGTGCGCTATGGCGGGGTATCGGGTTCAAAATGCAATCTAGACTAAAAAGCAGAAAGTCAACAGTAAAAAGTAGAAAATCTAAAGTAAACGGGAAAATTCTTATCTAAAAGGGTATTTTTATGGTGAAAACCTATAAATTTATGTACTTAGTCTGCAGAAACATCAAGCTTTTCAACTTTCATGGACATAATTTCTACTTTCTACTATCAACTTTTGACTTTCCGCTTTCTACTTTCTACTGTTAACTTTTGACTCTCGACTTTCCACTTCAGATTTTCTCCAATACTATGGTGGCTGATAGTGGCCATGTAATTTTTCGCCATTTTCATAACCCGTCAACAAGACATAATCACATAACGACAGTATTAGTGAGAGCATACGTCAATGTAGACTTGGATATTATAGACTTTTGGCTAGCGGAATCTTTCACATCCGTGATATCGTATACGTGTAGATATTGTGTGTGACGTCATCAATGTGTGTGTATTTCTCATACGTGATACGGCACACGGATGCGGCAGCACGTATCGAACAGCTTTCATACGGAAAGGGTCCGTATAACATCGTCGTCTTTTTATCGCCTTTTTTGCTACTTTTTATTGCCTTTTTTGCTACTTTTATACGCTGAAATGTTGTTGCATAGCGTTTTTATGAATCTATGTGTATCCTAGAATACGAAGGTGTATATTTGATGTGATTTTAACCATGATAAAGACGGGAATTTAATCATTATTTTTGATAAGTTTTTCTCGGTATTTGCATGCTGAATGATCTACGTGCTAAATTTAGGGAGGTGGGACCATGCAAATCTGTAACTGATGTGATTCTACCGTAAAGGTGTATAAACTTTCTGAAATGAGTAAAACCAAAAATTGCTATCGAGTCTAGGCATTTGTGGCTAGGCACTTGACTAGCACTGATGGTGATTTTGGTAGATAACCGTCGTCATGTTGTAAGAGCTAAGCGAAGCTCAACTACAACCATTGACTCAAAAATGACAACGATACTGCAATTGTGAACTATCTAGAATGAATAATCTGAAAAAATTTCGAAAATATATTGAAAATTAAAAAAGTTATAGCGTTTTAAAGAAGGCAAACCAGAGGCGCTAAAAAACGGCTTTTTTTAAAAACCGCAAAAAAGTGACCGAAGCCAATATCTCAGTAACTATACAAGATAGGTCTATGAAAATTGCACTAATTAAAGATCTAGATGTACTTGATAAAGCCAAATTGTCGCTATAATATTCTAGTATATACTTTTTATGTTACAGAGGTTCAAAGTTGGGATCCGTGCCGATTTCGCACAAATCACAGCAAATTTTTTTTCAAATTTGTGTGTACTTAAATTGTAGCGCTTTGACATTAATACAGAGGCTTATTTTTTAATGAATAAGCACACATAAAAGTGTTTTCAGTCTGTTGTTATTTATTTTTTGCATGACAACACCTTAAATCACAATTTTTGACTGTATGATGTCAATGTCGAAGAGAAACAAGTTTATGTATGTAATTGGGCACCTACTGGTTCCGAGGCCATTGACCACTGGCCATTCACAGTCATACAACAATTATAAACCGGTTATACTAACGTATACTGTGGATATTTTTAAAAATCATGAAAGTGTGTGGCAAAATGAGAAATAAACCTGTAAGCTTTTGGCAGATTTGCCGCCTTTGCCACGCCAACTGCTTTAGTTTAGAAGCTGCCATGTACATCAATTTGAAATTGTTTGTTTCAGGAATGAAAATTAACAATTAAACTATGATTTATATAACAGCTATATTTTTGTGATCAACATCACTACAATTTCAAATAAAAACAGACATAATTAATAGACATAATTAAAACATTTGAATATCTTAAAAGAGTCCAAATTAAAAGGTAAGCTTATAAAAAGTAAGATATGATCTACATGAAAGAGTATTAAAAAAATTAATTTGTGATACATGTGCATTACGATATACTATATTATAATATCAGTGGTAGAAGTCTAGCTTTCTTGTTGAGACATTATCCCATGAAAATAAAAACAATATAAACATTCAGATGGTGATACATCTTGCCGAGACATTATCTATGTCATAAAAATATAAAAATATTAAAAACAAAATCACAATAAGATCAAAATTCATATCTGTTACTTTTTAATATGAAATTAAAAATGTTCACCCACCGGTTTAAAATAAATGATAAAAAAAAAAGAAACCATTATCACATTTATCAACAAATATAAGATTTCTAATACATGTATCTTCTTACAAAAACAAACAATAATAACAATATAAAATAATCACATTATTCATATGCGATATTTTTCAAAATAAACAAAAACATTTGACGCATCAGGCCACTTCTTTCAGGTAGAAAATGTTAAAAATAAAATAAATATCACAAATATTGAAATAACAAAAATAAGATTACTAACACTGATTTCAAACAATAAATTAAACTAACTTCTATGATTCATACCAAATTTATAATAATTATGGACTTTCTTGAGAATACTGAGAAACAGTCAGTTTCAAGCCCCCCTTTTTATAGTCCTCATGCAAATTGTATGAGTAGGCCTATATATCATCATCATTTGTCTATTTTATGTTGTACCAAGTAATATCAGGGATCGCCTTTGGCTATGTTTGGATTTGGATGAGTATATATTATGTAGCTTACTTCTTCAGCTACAGTTCCTGAAAAAATAATCCAAGGTGGTCAACAACATTCACAATTTTTATCCTTTGTTAGTGAAATGTCTGGCTAAAGTTTGGTTGGTAGCTTTAGTAACATTCAATATAATAAAAAAAAACCTGTCCAAATCTAACATCATTTTTTTTACACTGAAGTTTGTGTGGGGGGGGGGGGGTAATTATGGTCTGAACCCTGATCAACCACGAGTTACCTACCTTTGATTCCACATGGTTCAATTTCAGCCATTTTACGAATTCCTACGGGGGATACGGACTTAACAAATGGTCAAACTAAGTAGTTAATGAATTGGGCTTTCCAAATATACCAAAATCTTGAGCGTCGAGGGCCTTTTTCGAAAATTTCTCTCAACTTCAAATTTTCAATTCATGAAAAATATCAGAAAATCTTACCTCAGCTTCTCAAAATCCTACTCGACAGCAAGTTCATCTATTTTTCTCGATGGTAAACATCACGTGGTCAATGTTTGACACTTTGAATATTCATGACAAGGCGTAACACGACGTATACTTTTCTCGGTCAACTTTTTGTGATGTCTGTAAATAGTACAGCCAGCGCTCCTAGCGGCGTTTAGCATCGCTACTCTAAAGGTCCGTTCATACTACATCCGTGTCCGTATCTGTAAATACGCTTAGAACATAACCTCATTTTTCTTCCAATCAGATACCTTTAAAATGACCATGTGACACGTTCTATTTCATGAAGAATGAAGTTATCTTAAGTACTTGCCATTGGCTGTAGAAAACCCCACCCACAGCTCAGGTCATGGTATGTGATCGCTAA